TATTTAACCATATTCAAAAGCGAATACACAGTCATGAACAAAGAAGAATGTGCTAATTAACTTCAGATTGCCTAATATACCCATTGAGTTATTTTGTTTGAATCTAGAAAGAGATTCACATCGAAAGCTATTTTAAGCGAGAACAGTCAACAGTTGTTAGAACTATTTTAAACACTGAGGATCATTTTTGGTCAAAATTTTTAGTCCTTTGAACACTGTTAAAGTAGCAGGGTAGTAAGCGATTGCCTCCTAAGGAACTGAACCCAGTGTTAAAAAGATATTTTTTATACACCACATTAAGCGCCGACAGAAAAAGTTTCTTGAAAGCCATGAAGATAAAAGCGAAACTTTAGCATTGGACTATGAAGTTAACAGGTGAGAAGACAAGTCTTAAATTATTGCAGGTGAGTCAAAAACCACAAGAGAAAGAAAGCATGAAAGGCCATAGAAGCTTACTGAAAGCACGGTTAACTGCAGCGCCGCCGGAAACCGATGCTTATCAATTCGAAGCTGTTCTGTCTGATCCCGTGTTAGTGGTCCTGACGCGCTTCGCTTTTCCCACAGTGCTATGAGATCTACCAATGACTACCAACAAAGTCATTCCCCGAAAAATAATAAATACTTTCAAAATCCCGACGTCTCCTAAGATTACTTACTCCCGCTATGAATGCTCACGAACGAACCATCTCATACTTTCAACTGGCCAACACAGCATGTGCTTTAAACCCTTGAGCTTCACTTGCCACTAAGTTATTTAGAGCACCAGTATCACACAACAGTCATTTATTTCCCTGGGGAATTACATAATAAAAATGCCATGATATGCTCTGAACATATTTACACGCGTATTAACCACTGAAGTTTGTTAATACTGTCACAATCAAAAGGAGACCAGTCATACACAATATAAAAAAATATTTCACTTTTCCCTGGCACCTAGAACGACCGGAAAGAAACTTCATTCCAGAAAACTAATTCCCATGTCTCTTGAATAAGCTTTCAGCTATCCCACTACTACAAGATATAGTACAATTATGACCAAACGGAAAAACCAACAAAAGTTATCAAACACAATTCACAAAGCCATATTATGACTGCTCGACTGAAACCTCGTCTATTACAACATCCAAATTGGCCACAGACTAGAGAAAGAGAAAAAGAGTACATTCAGGACTATGAAGATGATAAATGCGCTGACAAAAAACACTAAAACAATTTTTTTCTGAGGCAGACCCCATCCAGCGTAGCTCATTATTAAAACCTTATCAAATTCCAAATGCCGTCACGCGCACAACTCAAGAACTTTCACAGGATGGGAAAACTCTGCACAGCAACAAATTAAAAATTAAATCTTTGTAGCCAAAGGGTAGTCTTTCTAACATCTTGAATACATTGTCAAAACCTTACAACTTTTGAAGTACTTGTTCTCTTCACTACAACAGATGAGGAGCCCCAAAATTTATCTAATCATGCCGGAAAAAAGAATGAAACTTAAATGTACACTCGAGAACATAAGACTATTCCACTGTGCATGAAGAACCTGTTAAGAACAAGAAGCTAGGCGCTGCTGGCAATGAACAAAAACTCTAAACATAAATTACAAATATACGAAACATATCACCTAATAAATCTTCCTTTTTCCGCCACTTGCTTGAGATACACGTTGTGAGGGTGAAGTGCTGTAAAAATTTGGGGAAATTAATCCAGCATCTAAAAACCTTTTAAAAATAGAACGAAGACAACTTCGTACGACGCGGAAAGTTGGGAAATTACTTACTCTAAGCACGGAACGTCCTACGTATCCTTCCTTTTACTTCCAAACTTAATAAAAAACTATAGTCACTAAAAAAATTCAAAGGTCGAACGTAAATGACCTGAAGACTAGAATAACCGAAAGCACCGAGGCAGGAGCTGTACACCGTTTAAGCGGTAGTTAATACAAATAAAAAGAAAGTAGCATGCAAGTGACAATTTGTCACAGCTCTGCATGCAAAAGAAAAGAGAAAAATATTAATACAACATTTAAATCACTGGTAAAAACACAAATGTTTCTTTTGAGAGAGGTTATGAAATGGCAAACAACTCAGCAAAATATCTAAAAAACGGAACGTTAAGAAAAGACACAAATTAAAACTAAAAACGAAAGTTTGCAAACATACAGCTAAAATACTTTCTATTGAAAAACTGATGCTGTATTTGAATGATCCAACTAAAAATAGTAAAGATTTGTGATACTAACAAGTCATTTATATGATCAAGAAAAAGAAGCATATTTCCCCATCTGTTAGTAACTCTCAACTTGCATTTAATTCTGTAATAGCACCAGTGTTAATTGGCTAGAGAATAAGAGCGGTTTCCTGGCAATCAAATTCTGAAGATTTGTTACCAAGCAAGCGAATTCTGAAAATTTTTTAAAATTATGAACGAAGAACCACACTGCTGAACTATTTCAGAAAAGTTAAAATACACAATCGCTTTGTAAATACTTCAATTTTAGTAAAAATTATTAAGCTACAACTAGTCCTAATTTTGCCTTCCAGGTGTTAAAGTTTGGATTTAATATTTGTTTGTTTGAAAAAAAATAAGAGAAGTTGTAAAAGTCTTGTCAGTAGCAAAAGTTTTAAGATACGGAGGAAATGACAACTCCGTAGAAAAGTTGACTCAAAAAGTTTGATATTCATCGGACCTGTCCTTAGGTCTAACACGATTCACGCTCTGCTGAGATCCAAACAAGCCACTAATTCCGGATAAAAGAGAAGCTATAGAAACTTTTGAATTTGTTCTTTTGACATTCGTATCATCCAAGCCACGGTGAACCTTGACCGAGAAATTTCCCATCATTATCTCTGCTTCGTACTTCCGAAACTCCAAAGATGCTAAAGATTCTTTTGTAGGCCTTCTGAAAGAAATTCAGTAAATTTTTTCACAATGACGTTCCAAATCTCCAATGATGAAACTTAAAAGAGCACTAGAATTAAGGCTCAAAATTGGCATAATTAATTTAATATGGCGATATAATACTCGACCTAAAGGTTTTCAACAACAAAGACGACGACAAAACGCTGACAGAGGACATCGCCATCGCTGCAGCCGCCATCCATGGCTGAATAAAAAAACCAAATGGCAGAAAAACACCTAAAAATACATCTAATCTAAGGTGATAATAAGTGGGCAACTTTTCTAAAAAATCCTCAGCATTCTAAAGTTCTTATCAAAATTAACCTGCAGCAACGGGTATGCCGATAGCATTATAAAGTACAGCAAACAGGAAGTTTAAATGTATCCGGCGTGTCGTCTTTTTTGATAGTTTAATTGCACCTACGACGTCAATCAAGTTATTCTAAACAAACCAATTTTCCGATTTTATCGAAGTTACCGCATTCAAGTTTGATCAGCTATTAAAAAAGAGTTTGAGAAAGTAGGAAAGCCGTACGATCAAAAACAAACTTTCACTAATACAATTCCTGCACTCTCAACTGCGACATCCGAACCAGCCGCTATAGCAATGCCAACGTCAGCTCTCGCTAAGGCGGGACTGTCATTAATTCCATCACCTACCATTGCAACCACTTCTCCAGCATTCTAAAGAATAATTTTGCTCTAAAGCAACACTTGATTGAAGGACAGTAGCTGGTTTGAAAGACAAAACTAACCTGCAATTGCTCTATTTTTAGCTGTTTTTGATTAGGCAGAACCTCTGCAAAAACTTCATTAATTCCAACTTGTCGAGCAGTCACTTCAGCTGTTTTTGAGTTATCTCCAGTTAGCAAAATGACATGAATTCCCATTTTCCTAAGACCCCAAACTGCCAACTTTGCCTCTTGTTTAATTTTGTCCGTAATACTGAGGACAGCAACACACCTTCCTAAAATGAAAAATGAAAGCATAAAACCTAGAACAACAAAACTTTCAAAATCAGCAGTGACTCACGAGATGAGTAAATTATACCATTAATAGCGCAGAGGACAGATATGAAACCTTTCGACTGTTCGGCAGCCAGCACATTCGAAACAGTCTCATCAACAGGAATACCATTCTTTATTAGCCATCGTTCGTTACCGACAACTACTTTGAAAGGTTTCGAGTCACTGTAGTTGTCCTCTTGACCTTCTAAACGTTTTTTGCCAAAGTTCTTACTCAAAAGAGCTATTGAACAAAAGGCAAAAGTAACTTTTGCAAAAGATTCATTTTGAAACAGCAATTAAATAAGACCGATGAACCACACTACAAACCCGACATACTTCTCATTAATCGTGCCAAACACCAGCACTAACAACTCATAAACAAATATCTTCCAGGACCAACAAAAAGAAAAACCTTCCGTAAAACAAGCTTGTCTGACTTCAACATCATTGCACTTCAGACGAACTGTCGCACCAATAAATGAAAGCCTGGCAGATATATTTTCGTCTTCCTGTGTCAAAGCAAGGAAAGAATTTGGCACCCTTGTAACCTCGCATGATAAACCACTACCAGCTGATGCACGAAACCTTTGAGTGACACCCCAATTATTTGCCAATAAAAACTAAAAAGACAATTTTCATCCAGAAGTTCTACCACAAGATAGTGAAGGAATGATTGATATACAAACCAAACCTCCTTAACGAACGAAGTTATTGAAGAAGCAATTGGATGCTCGCTATTCGATTCAGCCGATCCAATGATCCCTAACATTTTTCGCAACGGTAGATGTTGATGAGAAACCAACAGCTGCACTCCAACTACTGTGGGACAGCCCTCCGTTATCGTTCCCGTCTTATCGAAGACTAAAGTTGTTATCTAAAGAAATTCAATTTTGTGTTTAAGCAAATTAAAAAAAGAGAAAACACGGGAAGTAATACCTATTAAAATATTATTACTTACATTATGTGCTGTTTCCAAAGCTTCACCTCCCTTAATTAATATACCATTGCTTGCACCAATCCCCGTTCCAACCATCACGGCTGTTGGTGTCGCTAGCCCTAGCGAGCAAGGGCAAGCAATAGCCAAAACAGTTATAGCTGCTTCAAAAGCCCTTTTTAAAATTGCTTCAAGTCGTTCATTTGCGGTCTAGAAATAAGTGACAAACGGAAACGTCAATACTGTATTAAAACAAAACCATCAAGAATCTTCTTATGGAACTGAAAAATTACTCATGAGACTGTTGAAAGACTGACCAAATAATTATCTGTTATTACAAAATATCCAACAATAATCCAGCCCAACAAAGTGAAAAAAGCCAAGCCAATTACAACAGGAACAAAGTATCCTGCTATACGATCCGCAGCTTGTTGAATAGGCGCCTTAAATAAACACTATAGTTATTATGCTCATTTCTAAAAACACAATGTTAAAAACCTTCACCTTCGATGTTTGAGCGTGTTCTACTAAACGCACAATTTGCGCCAAAGTAGACTCATGGCTTACATGCGTCACTCTAACCAGCAATGTTCCATTCCCGTTCACAGACCCACTAATCACTGGACTACCTTAAATTTTTCGAACTTTCCTTTTACTAAGCAATTAAAAATTCGTGATGAGCATCTATAAACTACCCTAAAACAAAACTCGATATTGGTCATTTTCTACGGTTGATACCAAATAATTCATAAAAAAGAACGAAATATTTACAAAACAGCGGTTCACGGTTACCGTATGACGCAACTCACCAGTCTTCTTCATAACAGGCATAAATTCACCAGTTATAAAAGATTCATCAACAGAGCTCTTTCCTTGGATAACAACTCCGTCCATGGGAATCTTTGCACCGGGTAAGATCTTTATTACGTCTGCACGCTGTACCTAAAACTAACATACAGTAAAATGTTACAAGAAAAAGTAACCGTTACTGTGATCAAAAAAATAATTTACGACAAGAGCACAGCACCCTAACACAACTTACCAAATCAATGTCAATCCGTTCTTCCGAAACAATACAGCTGTTTTCATCAAGAGTTATTAAAACAGCCTCCTTAGCCTGAAGTGACATTAGTTTACTCAAAGCCTCTGAAGTACGACCCTTCGCTTTATATTCCAACCAGCGTCCAAGAGAAATGAAAACAATGAGCATAGGTGGCACATCAAAAAATGTCATCGGACTACTTGGCCATCCACAAAAAACAGCAACCACCAGCGCAATAATAGAGTAAAAATAAGCAATGGAAGTCGCTAACACAATCAACACGTCCATATTAGAAGTTTTGTGTTTCAAAGCCTTCCAGCTTTTCACGTAAAAATAACGTCCACCCAATACCTGTGTAGAAAAATCTCATAAAAAGGAAAACTGAAAATACCACTGAACTTCTCACACTTATCAAATGCTACGCTGCTTATTCTTAAAAAGAATCTACATACTTGAACTGGAGTACAAAGTATGAAAAGAAGCAGGTTATCCAGACTAATTGCAGGAAGCACAACAGGAATTTGATTATCAGGATTCATGGCTGTCCTCAAACACCAATGGAAATACACCATTATACCCATTACTGGAATGCCAAAAAATAAAGAGATGAGGAGCGAACTTCTCCACCTGAAACGGCTTGTATTAATTCTCAACAAAAAATAAGTGCTTTTGTGTTCCAGAATATATCTAATATTCACTTAGATATTTCAATAGACTGGTCGAAACGTTTTAACTTCTGATTGCTCTCGAGAAGGACTGCAGAGTAACCGAGGTCCTAAAGACAATTAAAAGTTATTTAATAAAAAAATATTTGTAAAAAAGATGACTAAAGTTGTTCTTAAATTACCTCAATAATTTTGATAATATCCCTCGGACCGATCACTGTCGGGCTATACTCGATGGAAGCCGTGGAATTTGCAGGCAGTACTGTACATGATTCAATTCCTTTACGTTCCAGAAGTCGAGACTCTATTCTTTTCGCATCCATCGGATTGTCCAAGTCTCCTAGCTAAAGCAAAGTTAAAGCTGCTGTTTGCTTTCCAATATCATTGACAGTCTTTCTATTTTATGCTAATTAAAGAACCGAGGAAAGAAACCTGTAAGTTGGTCGTCTGGAATACGGTACTTCCACACTCCAACAAAGTGCTATTGTAACCAAGTTGGGTAATTTTCGTAACTATCTGATTGACATCAATAACGTTAGAATCATAAATAACCTCAGCCTTTGAAGCCATCAAAGCAACGACTATAGACTCAACACCTTAAATAAGATATCTACAGTTTTTGAACCTGACACCAATGACTAAACAGAGTAGAGATGAAACTTTACATTTATTCTGAAGTACAGGAAAAAAATTGCGAGCAATTTTTAAAAAAATTTTACTAACGATGCACAGGTCATTTCTTAAAAGCTGTGACAAAACCTACAAACCTTTGACCTTCCCGATATTCCTTTCAATATATGCAACACAAGAAGCACAAGTCATCCCCTCAATCGATATAGTGCATTTTTTGATAGAGTCTTCCATTTGCAATTTAATTGGGCTTTTATCGCCATCACCACTCTTCTCTTCCACTTTCAACCCGTTTACAGGCTGATTCACAACTTTCAGTGCAGCTTTTCTGTATTCCGGAGCAAGAGTAGGGTCGACACTTTGAGCACTATCGAGTTCCAAAACTTCTACTGCTGCTGATGTATTTACACTATCTCAAATATCATAAAAATAAAAACTAATTTGCAATTTTTATTGAAGCACAAAACTGCTTAGAAAATCGATTAAATATTAGCAGAATCCAGCTAAAGCATAATAAAAACTGTAAAATTTGAAAAAAACGGTATCCTTACCGCTAACTGCTTTTAATTTTGCATCATACCCCATATCGTCAATCGCCTGTGCAACAGATTCTCCAGTCCACTTGCTCTTGTCAAATGTTACGTAAGCTAAAAGAAACGCAAAGACATAAAACCAGTAAACTGCCGGTAAAGAAGCTGCCCTAACAAAGGTACCTACCTTCACCATCGCTAAGAGAAACTTCTATAGTTTCTATGCCATTTTTCGAGCCAATGTGATCTTGAATATTTTTTACACAGGACTGGCACGTCATCCCCCTGACTTCTATGTATGCCTCTTCGTAAGAAGAAGATGATGAAGGAAGCGAAGTTTCAATTAAACCTTCGCTTTCTGCAAAAGTATTTATTAAGTATTGCTGTTACTAGAGAAATAAGGAAAGAATTAAGCTAACACACCACAGGTGCTTGACACTCTTGCTTCCAGTCCCATACTTTCTATAACATCAGCTATTTCTTGTGCATCCCAGCTATTCCCATCAAATTCAACAACAACTGAAATGACTCTGTTAAGTAGTTCTCCAAAACTAATGTAAATTAGAATGCAGTGGCCCTTACTCACTTTCAAACAACAGAGTGAATTAAAAAACTATAAGAAAAAGGACTCAAGTTCGTGAAGTGAATTTTTTCACGGTAAAATAGCATTATACATAACCGGAATGAAAATCAATAAAATAAACAATAAATTTCACAGTATGCTGAGCTGCTGAATTGATTCTCAAAAGTTGCCTTTTCTGAGCGAAACATTAAAAGTACAAAAAAACTTCCAATTTCAAGATGCTTGAAAACTCCATTTCCTCCATTACCATAAAAACAAGAACTTGTGACTGAATCACTCCGTTATTACACTCAGCAAAAAAGTAATTTTTTATGGAAACTCAAGCTGTATCATTTTGTCACATTTCATGAATTTTATTACGAGTCGCCGAAAACTTCAAAATAATGACAATTGCAAGTGAAGAACAAAAATCGTTCTTGAATCACACTATGATAAAAATTTTAAAAAAATAAAGTAATGAAACCCACGCAGGCAATTAGCATGCACCATACCTAAGGAAAACAGCAGAAAACACTTTTTTTAATGATTAATTCAAAGGCAATTACCTTGACGGTCTGGAAAAGACATTCCAACATTAAAAATACCAGGTTTGCTTCCAACGATTTCTTTAATGTTATTAATGTACGAGTAACACCGCATACCATCAACCTGAATCACAGCCTTCATCCGACTGGCCTGTGAAGGGTGAAATGAAACCCCTAATAGCTGGGTTGATTCAGATTCAGCCATCCTGTAACATCCACAAAGAACCTAGTAACATCGTATAAAACAGTAAGATTTAGTTCAAGGCCCAGAAAAATCGTTAAATAACAAATTTAGTTTTCTCTTAAGATAGGCTTTTACTACCCTAAAAGTGCGGTAGTGTATTTTAACTTTACTTACTATCTCAAAAAAGTATACTCTAAAATCATTCACTATGAAATCATTTGAAACCGAATTTTCCAAAAAAAAAGTTCAAGCTCACTGATGTTATAGCAACCCATCAAAATTTCGTATAAAAGTAAAACAAACACAAATTGTCACTTACCACCTCATTTTAAAACTTGAATGACAGTAAACTTAAAAAATAAGTCAATTAATAACATAATAAAAATAAATAAATAAATA